AATGTACTACCTACATTGTACATCACGCGTTGCTACTTGTCCGCCGACTCTTTTTGCCGCGCGACGGGCCTCCTGGGGTGTACCCAAGGCTGGTGCCAGACTTCACGAATCCAGAGATTTGCTGGTCGCTAGTAGCGCATCCCTGAATTCGCTGTTAGCGACTTTGCGGAGTGGAAGTACCCGACAGGAGGCCCGTCGCCCGGCGGGCAGAGTCGGCGGACAAGTAGCAACGCGTGATGTGCAATGTAGGTAGTACATTGGTGCATTCCTTACTCGAAATCCCTACACTACACTTGCCTACACTACACGCACCACTTGCCTGCTGATTCTGCTTTCTTGCCGTGCGACGGGCTTCCTGTCAGGTACCCGCGGAGTCGCCACTAGATAATCGTTGGGTTCGCAAAGTCTGACACTGGCCTATCTTGGAAAGAGGGATTCCACGGCTAAAGAGAAAAAATAGTGGCTTGTGCATACGAACATCTAAGTTGGGAGCTTCCGGCATGTCCTGTCAAGCTCTTCAGTCTCTTTGGCAGGCTGCCCATTGGTCATGCCATCTATCCATCCAAGAGATTGCCCCGCGATTGTGTTAAAGAAAGGGGCCTAGTGCTAAGAGAAGAAAACCTATTTGTTTTCTTCCCTTCTTTCTGCCTAAAGCAAGAGAAGGAAAACCCGAAGTCCGACGGAGAAAAGCCGGTTCCCATAAATCACTCGGCAGGTATATTTAGAGGCCATCTAAGGTGATGAAAAAAATTAACGGGGAGGGACAGAGAACCAAGCCGCTCGCCACACTGCGAAATGAGTTCTCGTTCTTCATACCAACGCATAATCGGATTTTTTGCAGCTTCAGCCATGCGCTCGCCGATCCACCACACTATTCGTTGTGAAGTGAGCCGTAGCAAACAGACGTAATAAAGAGCCGATTTCCCCAAGATAGGCACTAACCACTATTTTACCCAATTAGACGGAATATCAGCTGTCATTAAGGTGCTTCACTTCACTTATGAAATTCCCCGTTGACTGACTTACCCAACAGAGAAACGTTTCCTTTCATTGTTGAACACTTGCTTGCTGCTTTCGTTCACTTCTCGCATCTTTTTCTCACGTTCTTCACGTGATCGAATCGATTGATCCTGAAAATTACGGTAGAGTGGTGAATACGGTATACAGGAGATACTGTAGGTATCTGAGTTTACATATAAAAGTGTGCGCGAACTATTCAGCTTGATGGCATGAATGTTTCAGAAGGCCCGAACCCACCATCG